ATGCTGTGTTATTTCCCCCCTCAGTAATATAGATGATTTAATTTGTGTATGACTCCCTTTCCTTTAGAACCTAGTGACCTCTTCATGTAAATTGTCTAAATAGTTGTCAGTGGGAGCAGTTAGGTGGTGGTGGCAAAGAAGACATTATGGTGACATTATGGTCCTTATGGTGAATAAATGGACATACTGTATATGTGAAAGCAGTGGAGTAACCCTTTACAGTAACCCACTGAGATATTAAACTAAGGATAAAAGGTGCCTTTTATCTGGTCCCAAGCTTATTCCATCAGAATATAATATCAACACTACCAGCTGTGTCCAGTGGTCAGTGGTCAGTCTCTGTGTGATGCAACAAAATCACCTTGCAGTCAAGACCTCCTATTCAAATAAAACAAACAAACAAAAATGTATGTTAAATTTGAGGGAGCAGATCCACTCATTGTCTGTAATGCCACCTGTCTAGCACCTGAGGGCAGCAGGTACATATTCAATATTTTATCTATCACTCACTTTGCAGGTTGAACTTACAAAGTCCCTATGGATGAGATGGAGCTGTAGGATGAGACAGGGATTTTAGTTTTCAAGGTCAGTTTAATAACAACAAAAGCCACATACTTATCAGCATGGTTGACACTAGTGATGGCAGAACAGGACCTGATCGTTGTTGGCAGTTTATGATTACTGTCAGCTTTTGCATTTATATTCTGGATCATCTTGAGGCCATTTTACATTTACAATATTTAGTTCATTATACTTTACTTAGATTTTGTTATACCAAGGTCATTTTTTAATTTTATTATCCTTAGAATTATACTAAAAACAACACAATTCCACATTTTTCAGTTGTTAATTAATTTATGGATAAATTCATTTATTAATATAAACATGTTTTGGCACTTTACTGACAGTAAATTCAAAACAAATTCTAAGTATCAATGCACCTAGAGCATTTCATCCTAAAATCAAATTAAATAAAAAGGTTTTATTTAATAAGAAAATTGCAGATATAAGTACAAGTTCAAATTGAAGATACAACTTTGCATCCTAATTTATTGCACTGCAGTCATATATAAAATGTGGAATTTATTTTCTAATTGAATAAATGCAAAACATTCTGTTACTAAAAATGCAATTGCTTTAAACCAATCAGATCAAATTTAGATGTGTTAATAAGCCATTACCTGTTGACTCTGAGAAAAACTGTTACTAAACCAATGATATGATAAATTGGAAGAGTGTGGCCTCCGATTTTCTGCCTGCACAAATTTCTACACTACCTCATTCCCAGTTCTCAAGTGCATATCTGTTGTGTGTTTGTTTGTTTTTTGTGCATTAGTGTGTTTGGTATTTTCCTTCCATTAATGAATGTGTTTACACTGGGGTGGGAGGAGAGGTGCAGTTGAAGCTGTGTGCATGCTGATCAGGCAGCACAGCACAGTTCTGGTGCTCATTTTGACGATAACACCTGCTCAGACCACCTCTTATCGCTGTTGCAGGTGCATGTGCAATTTTCCTGACAAGCGCCGAGGCTGGGAAGCAGGAGAGTATTTTAATGGCCAACTTAAAATTAACCCTTAAATCTACAACTGATCTACTGGAATTCACTCTGAATCATTTATTGTGTATCATGAAAATTCATTTTAAATAAGATAAATAAACTCGTCCTCAGTATGTGGCTGTAGATATGAATGTGGTCAAACTGTGTTGGTGCACGTCAGGACGCAGCATCTGACTTTACAGGATGCAGCCAGAGGTGATCTGTAACCGATGTTTGGGAATCCATATCCACGTTAAAAACAACATAACACATGAAAGTAGCTTGTGAACCAAGATGAACAACAACCACCCTGCAGACATCTCCATTAATCCTGTTACACAGCAGTAAAGTCAGTCTGACGTCACTGTGGCTGTTGTCACTGTTACGTTACAGTTTCTTCAAATGAAAGAGTTTCACACAGACAAACCTTTGTTCCTACCGCGAGGACGTTGTGTCTGTTTCTCCATCTTATGATGGTTTGATCAGCCTTGAAAGCAGCTGTAGGTGGAGATAAAGTGGGCGCCACATCCACTGGCTGTGCGTACTGGTGGACCACAATCAGTTTCACCATGAACACAGTGATTACAATATGATTTTACTGTATTATTTTAAAAGCAGTTAAACGTTTATAAGGTTACATGTGAGACCCCTGTGGATTTCACACACTGGATGCAGCTGTGAGTAAATGACACTATATAACTGCTGCTGGTTACAGAACCAGAGACTTTCTATCTTCCATGCAGAAATGCTGGTCAGTGATAATAGCAAACTGCTGAGTGAATATTTATGTGCAGTACTTTTACATAAATAGTTTTGTCACTCTCAGTCTAGGTATGCAGTACATAACAGGTAGGAGAAGAAGATACAGGGAAAGAATCTTTCATATATTTCCTTGTCCTGACATCAGTGACATCAGTCAGTCAGGTTTTCATCCTGCTTTTTAAAGGGGATGAGAGGAGCTGGTTTGATTGGACAGAACTAAAGCCCCTACTCCTCCTGCTCACCATGGATTTCTCCCTGTAATAATGTATTCTGCCCCACTACAAAATGCACTCAGTAACATCTGGCTATGCACAAAAGTGTGCTGCATCTGTGGCCATCAAAGTTGCAAAACATCATTGAACACACCCATATTCCCCTTGCGTCTGGAGTTTAGAGCCCATCATCTGCTGGGTTTGATTACAGTCTAACACCACATATTGGAATGATCCTTAAACACTTCCAATCGGATTGTTGATTACAACAATAAGGGTTTCACTTGTGTAGGAATATAAGAGGAATCAGAGAAATTGTCTGTTCTACCAATCTCCAGAAACAGACATCATTCTGCAGCATCTACAGCTCTGCAGTGTTGTATAAGTATAGGAACTTGGCAAATGCTTTAGCTCTACATCATTCGGTTAAAAACAGAAACAAATGCGCTCTAGTTCGCCCGCACAGCATGGGCTGTTATCATAACCAATAACTCAACGACTGTGTCAGCTCCTGAGCTTTCTGGACTTCAAAACTCACTTTCCTGCCCATAACAATGAACCTTGATAGAAAACAGGAATGCTTACTCGCAAATTCTTCTTGTTCCACTTCCAAAAAAAAAAAAAAAATCTGCAGACTAGGCCTGTAGGAGTTTTGCTAGATTAACAATGAAAGGATTTTCCTATTGATGTTCTTACAATGTAGAAACCTTCTGTGCTAAATTCAGCTTTTCTCTGGAGTACCACTTCCACATACTTGCTATGTCCAAACATACCCTTCTTCACCCTTTTAGGCACTAATTGTGATGAGTTTATGTGGCTCACTGGTTTTTATAGTTTATGGACAAAAATGGAGCTCTATAACTGTATAATTAGATCTAACAGGCTTGGGATACACACACAGTGCTTGTTAGCATCATGGGAAGCACATAGGATTTGTTGAGAGTTCAAAAGCACAGAGAATATCTTTGTCTTTTCGTACCAGTGATAGAAAGTAACTAAGTACATTTTTGCGAGTACTGTATTCAAGTACAGTTTTGAGGTATCTGAACTTCACTTGAATATTTTCATTTTCTGCTACTTCATACTTCAGCTTTACTACATTGTACTTTTTACTCTTTTCAGAATTTAACATACACTATAATCATAAGACTTTATTGATTCCTGGTGAGAAATTCATAAGCTACCCAGCAGTAGGTAAAGTAAGTCAAATTCTATCCATGAAAAATTTGACAAATTAGCTCCACCTTTACCCGTTGCAGCATTAAAGTGATTTACACAGTAATACACAGTAAAGCAAATTAGCTGCTACAATCATGTTAAATCTGAACAATTCATTAACAATTGAAACCAGGTATGAACAAACTGTAGCTCTTTTTAAATTAGCTTAGTTGAATGTTATTATTATTAATAATACAGGTTTATTGATACTTCTGTGGTTCTTCTCATCAAATGGAAGCTTGCTGTCAGTAACTCCCACTGACTTCCAAGTCTGAATTACAACCAGGAGGCTGAAGTTAACTTTTCTTCTGCTCTTAATTTTGGTCAGCATGAAATAAACACTTCATAATATCTGGGTTGCTCAGAAAAAAATGTCACTTCTAGGCAGTGTTTTTATAAATAGCAAAAAAAATCTAACTAGTTTCTAGTTGCCAAAATTCTATTTTGTTGATTTTTTTTTTAAACAGCCCATTTCTCACACACACCACACATATTCACACTAAACCAGGAAGTCATTGGAGAATTCTACCAACTTCATTACCCAGAGTCTACTCTGGCTAACTAACTCTGTTCTGGGTCTATGGTGAGATGTCGTGTGGAGGTTGTTCAACTTACTGAGTTCAGGTTTCTCTGGGCAGATCATTCACTCACTGCTGTTCACACTTAATCAGTATAACCTAAAGTCTTAACATACTCATTATTAGGTACATACTCTGAGAAAATATGCACTTTAATGGATGAAAATCACTTCAATCCATTAATGAAAAATGATCTTCCACCCCTTCACCCCTAAGTGCATGTTTTCATTCCCTTTCATTACAGTGAAAATGGTATCAAACTGCTGATTTGTTACTTTACAGAAAGTAGATTTGCATGTTGACTTTTTCAGGTGTAACTGATTCAAATATTAATTTAGAGTTATAGTTTTTAAACAGTGTTTTAATGTTCAGCTGGTCCACTACAGTACAGTCAGGTGTGTGCATATAACATGTACTGTGTCTGAGTGTGCTTCACTGTCTCTGTCACACACTTTCACACAGTGTCTCCTTGTGTGTGTGGAGGTATATCTGTGGCTCATGTTTCCCTTTATTTTGACAGCAGAGACCTATTGGTTGTCAGGCCTCCTGTTACTTAATTAGGACGCACATACACAGAAAACACAAGCAGCAGATCAACATGGTGAGATCAATGAGGAAACGAGAGGTTATGCAGAAAATTATGAAGAACACACCTACATACAGGTACACAAACACAAGCAAATGGTGAAGGTGTGCATGTGTCAATAGTTTATTTTTCCTGCTTTAGTCTGGAGCTGATCTACAACCACATCATCTCTTCCTCTCCACTTCTGTTTGTTCCTCTCCACGCACCTCATCCTTCTTTCCTGTAAAGAAAGAGAAGATCTGTGTGAATCAGAGCACAATGAAAGGAAAAGAGAAACCAGATGTGCAACACAGCTGAGTGAAAGTGAGGAATGTAAAGAGGAGAGAAAACTTTTTACAGCTTCTGTGCTTCTTGTCACATTTGTAGCTTATCAGCTTTTCAGCTTACCTCACACCGGAAATGCTCAACTGGAACTAAACTGTTCAAGAGACGTGTACAGGTACTGATGGCATTTCCATCTGCAGTTCCATAAAACGTCCCATGGTTTAATAATTGAACTGGTAGTCACAAAAATGATCGTCAGTCGTAATGAATGGTCCCACAGTATATTATCCTGGGTGCTCTGCATTTAGACCACTTACTGAGACCCTAGAGGACTGAAGCCCTCAAAAAACCTAGTTTTGAAATGTTTACATTATTAGCATCATAAATAACGTAATACTACTGGCTGAATAAATAGCTTGACAGAATAAATCTTGTATCTAAACACTTATGCAGCAGGTGAAGAAATAAGAGTTCATCTCAGGAGAGAAAATCAGAAGAAAAGTAGCTTTTCACAAAAGATTTCGCAGTGTTTCACAGTGGTTTAATATTGCTTTGACATGCTGAATGGCTGCTATAATAATAGTTAGCCTCCAGATAAATGTAGTAGTGCTGTGTCCAGGTTGAGGAAACAGTCACAGAGACTGATCGGCTGTAGCTTCTCATACTGAGCAGGTCAGAGCAGCTCAGCTCATGCACTGGTTCCACAAATTCATTTTGCAGCAGTTTACACTGACGGCAGATTTGCGACACTTACCACAAGTAGTCTGTTTTACTAGCAGGCTTATAATGAACAATGTGTCTCGAGTCTAATTTTGAATTATTATCAGTGCTCTATAGTGTTATAATAGTTTTACAGTGGAACAGAATGTTTAGTAGCATTAAAAAAAAATGGAATAACTGAAGAACCAGTCACTCAGTTTGACAGTGACACAGTTTCTAATATTGTGTCAGAAGTTGTTTTATAATGGGAACTTTTTTATACATTTGGATTGTTCCTTTAAGTTTCTTACATTTTATTATGCCACTACCATGTTGAAGTCTTACTGGACAGCAGACACCGGTACTTCTCTTCCCTCCATGCAGCACACCTCTGAAGCACATTACACGTGTAAGGCCCTTAGCATTAGATAAGGACAACACCCACCCAGCCACAGCCTCGTCACCCTGCAGCCATACAGCAGGAGGCACCAGAGCATCAGGGCCTCCTCTGCCTCAAGATGTGAGGATCCCCAGCAGGACAACTTCACCCTCTCCACAGACAATACCATAGGTCTGAATGGACAGTAATGACTGCACAGGTTACTGTAACGCTCTGCAGCTTACAATCCACTGCACTAAACAAAATACACTACCAGTCTTTTTTTTTAGTCATGCTTACAACATACAGTTTTCAGTTGGAGTCTAGCTTTTCAATGTATTACTATTTTGGAAATGTTCTTAATGTCTGTCCTGTGTTGCAGTGTGGTTCATGAAAAATATATAAACATGAGTTGACATGAAAGATGTTTTACTTTCATTTTTACACATTAGAGCAATAAGACAAACATTCCTGTTGCAAGAGGACAGTGTTAAGTCAGCTTCAGAGAATCAGCTGTGTATATGTAAGATGGGCACAGAAGGTTGTGAGATGAAATCTTTTTTAGCCTGTAATGACCAGTATTTTTCATATACCCATACAATATTTGCAGATCACAGGAGATTTGTACACATTTACAAGACTGAGCTCTGAGGTTTAGAAACAAACCAGGTGTCTACTTTGTATGAAACTCTGCTAAGGATCAGTTGATGTGGTCTTTCTAGTTCACATCATGTATCTCTTTAGCAGCAGACCCAGTGTAATGTGAATGATAACCAAAGCATTGTCAGTGTGTGAAAAAAGTGTGAATGTTATGGCACCAGTAGACTTTTACCTTATATTAAATGTCATCCTTAACACTGTCTGACCTCCACGTGACCTCTTCTCTCCGCTTCTCTTCTTCTTACCGCATCTCTCATTCGCAGGTCCTGTCTAAGGTAGGTTTGTGCCGGTGGGACCAGATTAGTATCAGTTTACACTACAACTGAAACCTGTTCTTCAGGGAGACCTCTCACACTGTATAATAACTTGGGCACTGTACATTTCAACCTTAAGAGGCTAAACACTTGGTGGGAGTTCATAGTTTGGTGTGGAGACTGCAACAACCAGCACAGGAAACTGCTGCCATTATGTTACTATGTGATCATAATGAAGTGGGAGGAACATAACCACACCTATGTTTGTCATAGTAAAATGTGCAGTATATTTTCTGTTCTTCTCACATTATTTGTATGAAGGGACACACTATTATTTTACAAATTAAGTTTGTCTTTATGAGGATAGCACTCTTGAAAGGAGTTCTTGAAAACATTTTTTTCTGTAGCTCTAGACAAAGTTTGAGAAACAAAAATCTTTATCGTGTCATTATGGTCATCTTGGCTCAGGCTAAAAAGCAACTTAGAGACAAGGAGTTTGAAACACATGGGCTTTAAAACTAATTAGGGAAGGTCTACAAAAATATTGAGTTTTACTATAGGATCCAGCATTTTGAGAGCTTGACCCATAGAGATTATAAATCAGGAGATCTCTGTTTTCACTCCATCAAATATGACATTTTTTTCTTTGGGCCATGGGGAGAATCCATAAGGTGGCCACAGGTGGCACCGGCCGCCCCCACAATCTGATTGGCCACCCCTGGTACCACCCCTGCTAGAGTCAAGATGTGATGCTTGCCAGTATTAATGAATAAAAAATTAAAAACAGTGCCATATTGTTGCCTTTTCTGTGGCTTTAAAATTGATATTGGCAAAATAAATTTTATTTTATATTATGCGTACAGCATGAGTTTTGTTTTAATTTCTCCACTTGAGTTGGTGTGGAGTACTTGGCATAATTCGCCTCAGTAGGGGGAGGGAACCATTGTGCAGCAGTGCTGTCCCCAGCCAGGATTAAATATGGAGTGCAGCCAAAGTTAGCTAAAGAAAGCACTGTGTGTGTGTGTGTGTGTGTGTGTGTGTGTGTCTTTTTTATATAATATAAACACTCTCAATTCTTAATTAATGTATGGTTCATTATTTCACATAACTAGGTGTTTAACTTTTACATGTATTTCAAGTGTGCCACCCCAGAGTTTATGCCCCAGCCTGGCCACCCCATCCAAAATGTTCTAGAGCCACCCCTGGTGTTAGCAGCCTTTCAACATTTTTAACATGTAATGCTAAATTGCTTTCAAGAATGATAACTATAACTGATGATAATTATAACTGAATGCCAAAAAATTTGTATTTACTCCAATTACTATGTTACACCTTTAATATATAGACACAAACATATGAGAGAAATATCTGCTGATGCTACAGAAGAGTCAGATTAAATCCTTTAGTGTATTGCATAGCAGCATGTATTCCTCCTGTCTCTGAATTTGTATTGTGTAACAAGCCTAGCTGATATTAGTGTGACAGCTCTCACTAAAGTCTCAAGTGCCTTTGCTCAAGTCTTTTGTAAATTTTTACAGGCTGACATGCTGACACACAAATATTTCATTTTCCATTTAAAATTTAAAGGCATCATTAGCTCATATCTATGACTTTCAGTATAAACGTCTTATCTATGTTCTTCTATCTTTCTCATCCCACCCTGTGCTCCAAAGGTTCTGTCCTTTCTTCCTGCTATAGTGCTGCTGAGCTAAATCTGTGATTACTACATACACTATGTTCTCTAATCCCAAATTAGACATTGAACTGGGTTAGTTCTTTTAGGGTTTGCACCATTATACTCTGGTTTCAAAGGACCCAAATACCTCAGGGAAAGCGTGCCCGTTAAAAGGCTTCCTATAGTGAGCAAACATGTTGAACTAACTACAGAGAGTAGTGTTTGGTATTAAACAGAGCAAATGCTGGTCAGTTTTTTTGTTTGTTGTTTTTTTTTACGTATGCATTTGATTTACTGGCACAATTGGCAATTTTTCAGGTAAATGCTAAATTAAAGCTGTACTAATCAGAATTGTTTTAAAGATGCAGCAATAGATTAAATGGTTATGTGCAAAGTGAAAGGTGCTGCTCCGAATGATAAACCCACACAGAGCTATAACATTTCCCCCAGCCTCACAGAGCCTTTCAACATCTTTCAGGTCATTGTTTTGCTTTTACATAATTGACTGTTCTGGAACACTCTCGTCAGTGTTGCTTCCAGCAGCATATACCTGTGTCCAGTAAAGAGCACAGATTGATCACAGATTGTACCTGATTGGCACCAAACAGATACTTGTTCATTAAAGTGGAATGCAGCTGTATGTTAAAACAATAGAAGGAAGAACTCATAAAACTGTCACCTCCTGTTTTTGTATCTGTAGGTCCCATAGTTTCTTTGAGTTGGCAGTGAAAAGTGAGAGTCATTGGAAGGCAGCATGAACCGTCCGGTCACTGAGTGGTTGTGTGGGGCGGAAGTTGTCCCCCAACATCCCATCATTCCCTTCCAGCAGCTCCGCCCCTTTAACATGGGACCGCAGCCTGCGAAACTCCTCAATCTACAAAGTCAGAAGAATCAAGATTTAATTTTACATACTGAACTGGGCCACAGCGCCTCATTTTAAGAGCCTCACTGACCAATATGGTCAGACTTTTAAGAAGACTATGCTGATATCCGTGGATTTAATTGGCTGATGACTAAAACTTACTATCCAGTGTGTTCTCATGCTGGTGCTAAGGGGTGCCTTTGGTGCATAGAACAATGTGGTTGTGTTTAGATATAAAAAACTGTATAGTTAGGTTTTGGAAAATATCATGGATTGGGTTAAAACACTTGCTGACTAAAGAAAACTTCATTACACACTGAAGGTGAATTCTGCTCTCCCAAGGGAAAGATCAATGTTTTGTTTGACCCACCATTCACCACAACCGCCTCCTAGCATGGACTTTCTCCCTTAATATGCTATAACCTCTTGTTCTAGGCACCAAATACTGATTCAAGTGGATACTCTGTTGAAAACGCTGTGTGCTAAAGGTACTTGATATCATCAGTATCTGACACCCTGGGAAAGAAGAAGGGCTGTACTCTCTTAGTCTGCATGACAAATTGACCCCTAAATATTTGTCCATGCAGATTACCAGTCGTCCAGGTCATAGTAAGCTGAAAAAATGTAGAAAAAAACACCTGCAAGATGCCAGGAGGATCACATTTTATCTCAAGGAGTTTTAATCTGATGCACCACTCATTGCCTGATGTTTGTTTGTGTGTGTGCATAGGTGGAGCTTAGTTAAAAATTACTGGGTCTATATAGGGCCATTAGTTGACTGGCTGTGCATGAGCAGGACATAATGGTCTGATGGTATACACAGCTAATGTTGAGTGTTCACAGTGTTTATTTATTTGTTTGTTTATTATATTGAACTTGTCCATTTCCTTTGCCGTGTCATTATACAGTAGGCTTGCTCTATTAACTTGGGTGCCATTTTATTCCTGTTCTACTCATAGTAAGACTTTTGTCTTGCATTGTCTTGTACTTATTAATGTGGGTTTTCCAAGTTCTTGCTGCTACTTTTAAAATTTTGATTCATTCTTATCCACTTTATGCATAGACTCAAATAAAAATCATCCTATTTTGATCAAACATCTCAGGTTTCTGTGTTTTTGCACACTTTCCATGGACAATATAGCCAATCAGACAATGCTGATATCACTGTTATACGGTCCAGACAGAAACCCATTTTTTTGTTATCCTGTGCTTCTCTATCAGTCTCTGTTTGGAGGAGGGAGGGGCTCCCATGTTAACACAAGAGGGGGAAGTAGGCCATCTGTTTTCTTGGTCGGCCTGCTGTTGACTCTGACTCTCACTAGGGTTAGCTACACTAGCCATTAGCCACACATTACATTATTGTGAGACTAGTATGTTTTGTGTTGTGGACTAGTGTAGCTATTATACATTTTGCTGTGAGACTGGGTTGATTTAAAAGGCTGTAGGCCTTGTTATATCTGTATTTATGTTTTACCTGTAGTTGTGAGATGGTAAGAGGGTAGCGGTAGAGGATCCAGGTCACATTTTCACTACAAGGTGGAGTGGTCAGAGATCCTTCGTACACCCAGTAGTCTCTTAATAATGGGTCTGAGAGAAGATTAAATGTTTCACTTAAAAAGCATTCAACATGTCTCAAGTAAAAATAGTTAGTGATTCCCTTATATGATATTAAATGATCCCTAAAGGCTGGATGAAGGTATTGACCTTGTGTATTGATTCATTTGGTTATTCCCATCATCTCATTTCAGCGTTCTGATGTGTTGAGATTATTTTCAAATAAACTCTGGCTAAACCAGGTTCTCCACTCAGTAATCAACAGAGGGCAACATGACCAAATGGACAAAGGTACAGAAATGCATTATATGGTTATATTCCAAGCAAATCAAGTACCTCTGCCAGTGCCTCTCAAAATGTCTGTGCATGTCTCTGATCATCAATTTTAACTGATACCAAGAGGCTTTATATTGATTATGTGTTTGAAATAAATTGTTTTCTGCTCACCAGGTAACAAAGTGTTGGGGTTGAAGCACGGGATTATCTTGCTCTTCCCCTGATGGAAATACAGCAACAAAACAATTACTACTGTCATTTTACAATTGTTCATATAACATTTGATGCTCCTCTTCATCTGACATAATCAACTATCATGTGATCTGTCTGATCTTTTCAGTTTTGGCCTCACCTTGTACTGCAGGTCCTGTAGAACCTCAGTGATGGCCTTCAGACCCAGATGCTCCTTACCAATCTGATAAAAACACATATGAAGTCCCAGAGGGTGGTTAATTGGTGGTCAGAGGACATTTTCCGTGATTGTCTCATGGAAGTCATTGGTGTGTTAAGATGGTTAATCTCTCGTATCTTTACAGGAAGCTTTCTTGACAGGGAGGATGTGAGGATCATTTTTCTGGGGTCATAAAGTAGAGAGATCAGGGAAATTCTCAGCCATTTTCCAGCTTGTGTCAAACATATACACAGGATGGTTCAAGCTAAGAATGAACTTGTTCACTCATTTAGAATAACAAACCTTACAATCCCAGGAAGGAAGAACGCCTCAAGGCCACTGAAGTAGTCAATGTTTTTAAAATGTGGACTATAAGAGGGAAAACACACACTGAACACAATACTGAGCATTCAAATGTTTCAGAAATCTTTACACAGAATGTTATCAGGGACACTTGAAGAGTTCTGCTCCAAAACATTCCACATAATTACCAGTTTATTAGGTCAAACTAGTACAGTCCAGTACAACCAGACTTTAATAAATTCTACCCTCACAAATGTTCTAATGTTTAGTCAGTTTTAACAGTTATTATTATTCTGTCCTTAAAACATAGCTAAGCAGGACTTAGGCTCATTCATGCTTTTGTGTCTAGTGTAGACTAATGCACTACTGATTGGGCTTCCCAGTAAGACCATTGGACAGCTGCAAGTCATCTAAATGCTGCTGCTAGAATACCTACAGACACCAAGAAAGAACACATTCCTCCAGTCCTTAGATCTTTGCACTGGCTTCCAGTTAAATACAGAATTCAGATTAAAGGCCCTACTCATTGTCTACAAGTCTCTCTGTGGTCTAGGCCCAAAATACTGTATATCAGAGACATGTTTGTTGAGTGCAAGCGAGGTAGGTGTCACAGATCTGCAGGTACTGGTCAGCTAGTGGTGCTGAGTTCGAACTAAACAAGGTGAAAGACATGTTTTAGACATGATGCTGCCCACAGCTGGAACCATTAGAACTTAGATCTGCCACAACTGGAGCCACTTTTGAAACTATGGATGGTTCTTCTTCCCACTGCTTTTAATGAATGCACCTTGATTCCACTCAATTTTGCACTTTATCTGCTTTTATTTTTCTCCTATTACTCAGTGACCAGTTGACTTCTTTGTGCTGTTTGGCCAACTCTACAGACACCAATGTATCAAATTTTTCAAAAGAAAGCACTTTGAATTGTCTTTGTGTATGAAAATGTGTTATATAAATAAACTTGCCTTGCCTATATTATTATTATTACCGTTATTACCAAAATGATGAGGGTCCTGTAACCTTAAGGAAGAAATTATCTTAACTCTAATCTAGTCTTTTCCTAAACCTAGTTAAATGGTGACTGCTTTATAACTGTAATTGTGTGTTTATGATTGTTTCCATAACGACAAAGGTTTGATACGCCTGTGAGCGGAATAGTGGCATGGGTAATATTATAGTTACCATGGTGACAAAGCCACTGGACCATTCTGTGGGTTGTGTTTTGAAGGCACACAAGCCACATACAGTATATTGTTTTTGGTTTTCAGGACAATGTGTTCATCAATTTTCAGTCTTCAATGAACTAAATGCACATTTGACAAAGTTCTCCTTTTAATGCACTGCCAGAGATTGCACTACTTGTTTGTTACTTAGATTTACAGTATTCATTATCCAACTGACAGTTTAAAAAGTCAGTGTAAATGGATGCATAATCATGTTTCAAAGTAATAGCAAAATAAAGACAATAAATCTGATCAAGATGATCTTTAGTAGCTGTTTATTATGTCAAGTGTGACCATGCCAATTTTAATTTGACTAAATCAATTCTACTTTGAAAAGGGAATGTTTAACTGAGAGGGAAAAGCCCCCATGGGTCCCTTCATGAAGCTTTGCTATTTTGTCCTGATCACAGCAGATGTTACATACCTGAACAAAAAGAGCAATAATGAGGACTCCATTCTTCTTTCCCAGAGCATCTTCTAAAGTGTTAAATAGAGTGCTGTTCCAGTGAATCAGATGGAGCTATATAGAGAGACAACAGAACACAAGTTGTATTTGAGAGGCCACTGCTGCAAACAGGTGTAGGGAGCAGTAAGTCAGTGTCAGAAACCACCAGCTGGTGGTGACTGAGGGCCATCTATATGGGCTCTTATGTTAACTAAAGGTGAACAGGGAGAGAAGAGTGCAAAACCACTATATAAAACATGAGCTGATTTCAGAATGTTGTCCTTTAAAGAAAACATTTGAACTCATTCATTTTTGCTCTGAGAAAGAGGTAGTTGAGAAGACTGACACCATTGTCATGTCTGCATTTTTGGTACAGAGCTGGAGGCAGAGAGCAGTTAGCCTCCACGTTTTATACAGCCAATTCACAATACAGTTATCATTTATTTGGTTTTCTGTTTCTGTTGTCAAACAGTGGAACAAGCATGAACGTTGTGGAGAAAATCATTATTTGATGGCAGAGCCGGCCTGACACCTAGGCAAACTAAGTGCCTGCTTAGGGCCCCCATGTCTGCCAGAGGGCCCCCAAGAGTCCTTGAAATGTCACACAAGCAGAGCCAGATGGCACTACACACTCACTACACAAGGTCCTGAAGACATTTACCAGACAGCTCACAGATGAACTCTTTGTATCTTCTTTGACACAAAAATTTATTTAAAAAAAACAGCTTGTGGTTTCAGGGAGAGTTATGTTTGTTAGCAAACAACATCCAGATAACAATATGTATTTATTTTTGAAGTTTAGCCCTTTCACCCTGTTAGGTTGGACTTTGGTTTGTCCTTCTTTCCGCCCAGCTCTGTAAAGTGTCACAACAGAAACATTTGCAAACACAGCACAGTGTTAAGCTATTTTTTCAGCACTGTTAGAAAGCTCCTGATGCTAAATGTGTTACTTGTTTGAGCAAATGAAACAAGTTTTGTTTGGTCTCAACAACTTATGATGTTGTCATATCTGAAGGACAAAAGCCAATGGCAGAAGTCTAAACATATGAATACTGTAGTTCTTGTCTCTTGGTGTAGTCGCTGATCTTGTTTGCACCCCACTCCAAGGTCACAGCTTTATTTGTGTGGCAATGTGTGTGTTTGCATGTGTTTGAGTTTGCACTCTCTACCTCCATGGGGAAAGCCTTGAAGTTGACAGTGTGCTCTGATCCTCTCTGGTTCTCCTTGCCCCAGTGGAATCGAACCTCATGAAGCTCATACTCATGATCACTAGGTAATGGACCCCCAGTAACCACTGGCAACAGCACAGGAAACAGGTCATTGTGGGCTTGCACACACAGGAAGGTGATGACAAATCAGATAAGTCAGAGAAAAAGTCAAAGTGTGAAAATTAGTCATTTACCCTGAGTTGGATTGATTTTTGTCACTCAAAGAGAATTTTAAAAAAGATCTCAAATGGTTTCACTTATTTCTCCTTGACAACTATGCGGTGAAACCAAAATGAGACAATGGGTTGTTGCTCCTGTCTCTCATTTTTATTCTTCAAAATAAACAGATGCACATGATCTCAAATCTGCCTCTTTTTAAGTTTCAAAGATTTCATTGAGCTCTAAAATAATTCTCAAATTTTTTGAATTGATGCACCTCTTCTTTAATCTCAGGCAGAGAAATCAGAGAGCTCTCTATGTGAACACAATCTGTTCTCATTACAACATAATTCAACATCTCGTGCTGAGCTCTCCACAAGTACTCACGGCCTCCTCTTTCAGACTGAAATTAGTGTGTTTTTGTTTGTTTGTTTGTTTGCTTTTTTTAATCTCAGTGACATCTTTATCTGATTTCCCAGCATGCCCCAGTGGGTAGACTCTACATTTTTTCCAATGGTTTGTTCATATTCACATGGTTCTGTTATATGCCTTTTTGTTGTGTGTGTTGCAGCCGTGTACCTCTTTATTATTTCACCCTGTGCCATATTTGATTAGTCTTGTGTAGTTATATTTAGCTGCCACCCTAATTGTAACTACTGTTGCAATTCATGTCCTACCATCTTGATGCGTAATTTTGTTGGCCTACTGGTTTCATGTTGCTCCCTGTGGTTCTGCCAAAATAAAAAGAGCGCTTGCCAAAGATACACAGCTGTATATATGCATAGACTCACACACTGCTCTACATTATTGCTCATTTCTTCTCCAAAGGAGAAAACATTTGCTATTATTAATAAGTTTAGTGAGGCAGTTCCCTTATGTCTCAAGAATGACTCCTGTTGCTCATTGCCTTGTCACACCTATTTCTCCTAGTGAGTTTTTCGAGAAACATATCAGAAATGCATGAGACAAAATAGAAACTAAAGTGAGGCTGAAATGGAAATCACAATTTTGTCTCCCAAGCTGCAGAAGAGCCAGCTTTGAGCAGTAACATTAAACCCCTGTGAATAGCAACAAAATCTAAACACAGCTCCTGCTCTCACAGCACTTCTTAAACTGAATAGCAGTGTGTGTAGACATGTTGTCATGTCTCCTGGGAGTCACCTGACTTGGACTTGAGAATGATGCGGACAGTGTGTCCATCATTGATGACCTCACAGTCTCGACACACCACATAGTTTGGTGATAAGCCGACATCCAGGAGGGATGGGTCGTACTGGGCCTCCCTGGAGTTTAAGTTAATTGGGGACTGGTACTCACCATTGGCTGCTGGAAAATGGAGTCCCCACTCTACACCTATGTGTGAAAACAGGCACAAGCACACACACACATATATACAAAACACATATTACATGTACTGTATTGTCTATGCTTTCACTGAGCAGCTCTACATTCTGTGTTTACCTGATGATTTACCATGATTCGGTTCCACTGCTTCCTGTCCAGCTTTTATTTTTAAGTTACTTCCTGTTTTTGTTTCACCTTAGTTTCAGTCTTTTTACGTTCTTCATCACTCACATTGGTTTCACCTGTTTCGTTATTGTTTGCACCTCTATTTAGGCACCAGGACGCTGCCAGATTGTTCTAGACCCCAGCTCTGACTTTCTAGCATTTTCTTCGGTTTTGGTATTTTGTGTCTCTGACCTCGGACTGTTAAGGACATGTGAGTTTTGTGTTTTCACCGTGTCTTGTATGGTTTTCTTTTGCTCAACATTAGTTCTCTTAATAAAGAGACGGTTTTGTTTTACACTTCCTCGTCTGGCCATTTAATTGAGTTCACCTAACACTTTTCGGCCGCATTACGCGCCGTTTCTGACAGATAACTGTAGTATGCAGCAGTGGTTTACCTTCATCCTCTAACTCATGCATTGTCTTTGGGGATTTTAACAGAGCATACCTCACCCAGGAACTGCCCAAATACAGACAACATGTCAGTTGTCCCACCAGGTATAAAAACACACTGGACCACTGCTGCAAGGTAATGAAAGACAACTATTTCTCTGTCCCCGTGCAGCCCCGAGACTCTCTGAACACTGCATGGTCCATCTCATCCTGACCTACAGGCAGAAACCTAAAGTGATAAAGCCTGTGGTCAAAACAGTGAAGAGATGGACTGAGGAAGTAAAGTCAGAGCTACAGGCCTGCTTTGACTGTACAGATCAGAGTGTATTTGAAGCTGTGTCTAAAGACCTGGATGAACTCACTCACACTGTGACATCATACATCAGTTTTTGTGAGGACATGTTTGCCTACCAAGACCTTCTGCACAGAAAACAAAAACTATTCCGGGTTCACAATAAATAATAGCAAAGTGGAGCTTCTCTGAAAAGCCTTCACTTTGAAGAAGCCCGTAGAACATCACTGGCTACAGGAACCCCCCCCCCAACCTGCTTTACAGCAGGTTTGAAAAGCAGCATTTCACACGTCTCACCCACACCACCTTCCCCTACAAGCCCCCACCCCACACACCCTGGACCCCATCTCTTTCAGAAGCAAAAGATCAGAAAAGCACCAGGCCCAGATGGTGTGACTCCCTCCTGCCTGAAAGCTTGTGCTGATCAGCTGGCCCCCATCTTCATATCGATCTTCAACAGATTAGTGGAGCTCTATGAGGTTCCCTCATGCTTCAAACGCTCCACCATCATCCTGGTTCACAAGAAACCCTCCATTACAGACCTGTTGCCCTGACATCTGTGGTCATGAAAACCTTTGAAAACTTGGTGTTGACCCATCTGAAGGACATAACAGAACCCCTGCAGACAGGGTTGTGGTCCTACTTTCTGTTTTATGCTCTTATTTTGTGGTCATTTCCAGTTTTCCCTCATCTCCCCTCTCACTGTCTCTGATTGCCCTAGATCATTGTCACCTGTATCTTGTACTGTACCTGCTCTGTGTCAGCCTTTGTAATCACCTTAGTCCACTCAGTCTGGTTGCTGTTTCTTTTGTCATCAGTACTCACCCTTTGTGTCTCATCTCAGGTCTTCTTGGAGTTTGGTTACATCGACTCTGATTTCACTCACTCCTGCATCCAGTTTGTTGACTTTGTGTTCATTTTAGTCAGGTCTGAGTTGTTTTGTATTATTGCATGTTAAAACCTTCAGATTTCTCAGCCCGTTTCTTGTCTGCACTTGGGTCCGTATATACAAAACCCCGAGATAAGAACCAGCCGAGCGTGGACCCAGCAGACATATTAACTCCACGCCTATCCTTTCAAGAGTTAAGAGAGATTGTGGACTGCTTACACGCTGAGCACCAGGTGGTACCCACCTTAGAGGAGTCCAATGCTTGGCTAGAAATTAGATTTTTGAGGACCTTGCCCAGTGTAGGCCATTTGTAGGTTACAGGAGGAACTGAGTGTTAAATTTACAAAACACCGAAAGGGTCTAGTTCAGGTTTGTGTCAGATCCCAGTCTAACCTTATCCCAGACCCCATTACGAGAAAGAGAAAATAAATTCTCAGTGTCTCATACCCCCACTGGATTGAACTTTAAGCCCCAGACACTCATCTTCATGCCTGCCACAAGGAAGAGGCGTTGCCAGCAGCAACACCAGTGTCCAGCTCCTTGCGTCACTGCTGCACCTCTCCAGGTAGCCAAAATCTCTGCCAGCCACAAAGCTGGAATCTTCGCTCCCCTGTGCTGAAGGGTCTCCAGGTTGTCCAGCTCGCAGACAGCGGTCCAGTCTGCCTGAGGCTTGACACAAGAACTCAATCTGTGTTCAATCTGTCCTATGAAGGAAAAACCTTAAGATTGAATGTATGTTATAGAAGTTAATGGAAGAAAAGGCTCATACTGAGGTCTTGAAGGACAAACAGCTGCAAACAATCCAGGCCCTCAAGATTAAGGTTCGACAGCTAGAGGATTTCAGTGCCCAGCAGAAGTAGAGGGCATCTGCACTGCATGATCTGGGCCAGAGTACACTGATGTCACCATGATGCAGCTGAAAGGGAGCTTTTGCATAGCAGACAGCATGTTGCCTGTCTCTACACCAGGTGCAGCAAGGTCACAAACCCGACAGCAGACAGTTTCATGACCACTGCCAAGAAGGTTATGTTTTGGGTTTTGTGTGTGTGTTTGTTGGTTAGGGACAAAAGGCTGGATGGATCATCAGCATACCTGGTACAAACACTAGTGGGGACCAACCCACTCAAGACAGGAGGCTGAACATTTGGTGCTGTGGTGTTGTCGTAACAACCTGGAGCTGAACATGCTCAAAACAGTGGCGATGACAGTGGACTTCAGGAAGAGCCCCCCCACCTTGCCCCCAGTCACCATACTTGGCAGCACTGTATCAGCAGTAAAGTCCTACAAGTTCCTGGGCTCCACTATCTCCCAGGACCTGAAGCGGACATCCAACATCAGGACCATCACCAAGAAGGCACAGCAGAGGATGTACTTCCTGCACCAGTTCAGGAAGTTCAACCTGTCCCAGGAGCTGCTGATACAGTTCTACAGAGGAATCATCGAGTCTGTTCTCTGCACCTCCATCACTGTCTGGTTTGGTTCAGCAACCAAACAGGACAGGAACAGACTCCAGTGGACAGTCAGGACTGCAGAAAGAACCACTGGTGCCAGGCTGCCCTCCATGGAGGACTTGTGCACCTCACAGGTCAAAGGGAGGGCAGAAAAGATTTCCACAGACCCCTCACATCCTGGATATAAACAACTTGACTCCCCCCCCTTCTCTGGACAGCACTACAGGTCACTGTGTGTCAAAACAACCAGATGCAAGGACAGTTTCTTCCCCTAGGATGTCACTCTGATGAACACTTAACCCATGATTGTATAGCAGAACGACAACCCTCAGTGCAATACCTGTAAATATATCTTTGTACATGTCTATCTGGAAAACTGCATCTAAACTGTGTAAATGTATTTCTATATTTATAAGTACTTTATTTTTATTTTCTTAATGCACATCCTTTTCCTTTATTGTTCTCTCAGTCTTATTTTGAAACTGCATCCAGATGCCTTCTGCTAAGTTTTTTCAGCATACTATGACCTGGATGACTGAGAATTTGCATGGACATCTTGTTTACTTGTCTACTCTTCCTTAGGGAAGAACATTGTACATATACAGTGCCTTGCGAAAGTATTCGGCCCCCTTGAACTTTGTGACCTTTTGCCACATTTCAGGCTTCAAACATAAAGATATAAAACTGTAATTTTTTGTGAAGAATCAACAACAAGTGGGACACAATCATGAAGTGGAACGAAATTTATTGGATATTTCAAACTTTTTTAACAAATAAAAAACTGAAAAATTGGGCGTGCAAAATTATTCAACCCCCTTAAGTTAATACGTTGTAGCGCCACCTTTTGCTGCGATTACAGCTGTAAATCGCTTGGGGTATGTCTCTATCAGTTTTGCACATCGAGAGACTGAAATTTTTGCCCATGCCTCCTTGCAAAACAGCTCGAGCTCAGTGAGGTTGGATGGAGAGCATTTGTGAACAGCAGTTTTCAGTTCTTTCCACAGATTCTCGATTGGATTCAGGTCTGGACTTTGACTTGGCCATTCTAACACCTGGATATGTTTATTTGTGAACCATTCCATTGTAGATTTTGCTTTATGTTTTGGATCATTGTCTTGTTGGAAGACAAATCTCCATCCCAGTCTCAGGTCTTTTGCAGACTCCATCAGGTTTCCTTCCAGAATGGTCCTGTATTTGGCTCCATCCATCTTCCCATCAATTTTAACCATCTTCCCTGTCCCTGCTGAAGAAAAGCAGGCCCAAAACATGATGCTGCCACCACCATGTTTGACAATGGGGATGGTGTGTTCAGGGTGATGAGCTGTGCTGCTTTTACGCCAAACATAACGTTTTGCATTGTTGCCAAAAAGTTCGATTTTGGTTTCATCTGACCAGAGCACCTTCTTCCACATGTTTGGTGTGTCTCCCAGGTGGCTTGTGGCAAACTTTAAACAACACTTTTTATGGATATCTTTAAGAAATGGCTTTCTTCTTGCCACTCTTCCATAAAGGCCAGATTTGTGCAGTATACGACTGATTGTTGTCCTATGGACAGAGTCTCCCACCTCAGCTGTAGATCTCTGCAGTTCATCCAGAGTGATCATGGGCCTCTTGGCTGCATCTCTGATCAGTCTTCTCCTTGTATGAGCTGAAAGTTTAGAGGGACGGCCAGGTCTTGGTAGATTTGCAGTGGTCTGATACTCCTTCCATTTCAATATTATCGCTTGCACAGTGCTCCTTGGGATGTTTAAAGCTTGGGAAATCTTTTTGTATCCAAATCCGGCTTTAAACTTCTCCACAACAGTATCTCGGACCTGCCTGG